AGTATTTCGTGCTGCAGTGAGATCGCTCAGAAACCCGGTAGCTAGAAATTGTGACAAACTGGTCCTTGAATTTTAAGAAGTTAACTGTGCAGCTGCGCGATGGAAGCCTAGATGGCCAAGACGCGATAGATTACAGCATGAAAGTACAGTAGATGAGAAAAGAAGGTAAGAGCGAGATAAGACGTTTCAGTCCATTTAGTGATATACGTCTTAACATCGTGACAGACCTCGTCTGTATGACGGTCGCAGTGCTTAATGGAAAAGCAAAGGGAAGAGAAAGACGACAGGAAGAAACAGACGGGAAACCGATATGATTGTGGGTTTAAAAGGAGTAAGAGTGGGGTGAAGAGAGCAGAGAAAAGGAAGAAGGAAGAAAAGGATTTTAAAAGAGAGAGATTTTTTTTAAAAAGTTGTTTTTAATTCGTAGGCTAAATCATAGGCTCGGACTGTCACAATAATGGGAAGAAGGCAGTAGTACTATAGCAGCTGTGTTTTTGCAGCGTGAATGGCGAACTGGTACCATCTATTGCTCACCGTTAACAGCCCAGCTACTGCCAGTAGTAATTCGCAGTCAAGGAAGACCAGTACCATGGCGTTTCCTCAAATCACTTCAGCTAAACGTCTGGCATCACATGAATGGTTTCTCGGTGATGCTGTTGGATGCGAATCACATTCCCGGCTCTGTTATCCTGATTCTTGAAGGGGCACGTATCTCGGAGGGGCGCGTGTTGTTTGCTGGAAATTGCCGTCTTGATACTCGCTTTTATGAGAACAGACGCATCATGCCGATTTTGCAACGGGTTTGCACTGTTCTGTTATTGGGCCTATTCGGGCTCTGTAAATAAAAGAAAAATGTAAACGCGGGTTTCCTCATACTGACGGAGGCGCCAAATCTGTAGCTTAGGAGGGAAAAAGTGCGAAAAGTGGTGCTTAGCTGATTTGCAAAACCGCTTTTCGTTACAAATATCTTTGAAGTGTCAAACTGCGCCAAACAAGCACGTACTAAAGCTCATTTTGCATCTACTTACCCATGTATGAACAAAAAATATTCTCATAAAGACAGGGCAGTCGGGTCAATCGAATTCTCGAGCAGTTCCTGTGTTTTAGCTTTAGGTATCTCTACGTTTAACGTGATAGTTGGATCTATGTGTGATATGATAGTTGGATTTGAAATCTTTTGCTTATACACGGGTAAAAAATGTGTGCAAGTAAATTTTCTGTTTTCTGTTTTGTCTGGTTCCCGAATCCTTTTCCTGCCAAAAAGTTACGTGTTTTTAGGTGTCCATACCTGAGACTCATTCGTACATGAACGGTAATTTTAAGCTGTTTGAATGGTACGTGGACATGAATAATCTCTTTGAAATTCGAATTTCCTAGCATCTGCAGTTGTTGAGTTAAACACACACTACACATACATACATACACACACACACACACACATACACACACACACATAGCGACATCCTCTTGCCGTTATGTGTTTTTTTGAATTTGCATAAACATGCGAGAACGCATAACATGGGTTTTAATATAGAGAGCAAGAAATGTTCAAAGTGGATAAATATGGCAGAATAGCCGGTACAAAAAGAGGATATTTTTTAGAAGAGAGCGAGAAATTTTGAGTTGTTTCTGGAGTTGACTCCTCCGTTAGTGCTTCACACATATGCCGCCCAGTATAATGCAGTTTCTCATTTTTTTTAAAAAATTGGAATTTGTCATTTTAATCAGCTTTTTTTTTTCAACTGTGATTTGTTGAAATATTGGGACCTTGTCATCGGCTCAGGTGGGAAAAAATGATTTATAAGGGGTCCTGGACGTATTCTTTAAAAGTGTTGTATTTTGCAGAAACAGTTTGGTACGGTATACATGCACAACAAAAGTAGCAGCATTCCCGAGCATTTGGAATATCCCGGTCGGAACGAATCATTGACGCGTGCTGTTACTTTGCTGCGCGAGTTAGCCACTGGGGGTGCAAACCCGATAGTTATCTTGGTGCCAGAACTTGGCTTTGAAAAATTCCTTGCTGATGTTGCTAAGCAGTTGCAGGTACTCAATATGCCATTGAATTTATTCGGATTTGTTTATTTCATATTTTTGCTTTGCCGGATGAATTCTCGGAATAACTAATTCTAATGTTGTGTTGGAACTTCATAATTGGCGATTTCGCGAAATAGAACAAGCAGAAATCGTACAAGTACTTAAGAGTTTACTGCTGGAAACAACGGAACAGCTTCTTTAGTTTGCCAGTAATTCCATCAGTGCTATCAACAGAGTAGCTTTTTTTGCAGTGCAAAGTATGGGTTGAT